AGATGGAATGAAATAAAATAAAATATAATATGTGGAAATCCACACTGGTTACCCATTGTGAAGACACACCTGATTGTGGTTCACTTCAAATTATATTGATAAAAAACAGCTTTGGAAGACTAAGAGTTAGATAAGAATATAGGAGTCCCTCTCATCTAACTCTTGGCAAGAAACAACAAATATTTCTTTACCAAAATGACAAACTGTGCGATAAAACTGTAAATACGATAGTGACGTTATCAGACTGAGTTATAATCTGAATGAGATGCGTCAAATATAACCCAAAGACTTAAATCCAAAGGAACTGTAAACCTATTTCCATTTAATACATATGCTGCCATCTGTCTTTACAAGCCACTAAACAAATGGTTTTAAAATCTTAGGAGTTTTTTTGTTTTCTTATTCATTCATCACTTAATTAAAACAATGAAAGTTGACAGTGACAGTTGGAGTTTTCTTCACCAAGGCAAGGCAAGTTTATTTATATAGCACCTTTCAACACAAGGCAATTCAAGGTGCTTTACAAAAAGCACCAGGCATGTTTATGCAGCCTTTGATCAGATTTGATAGGCAGTGGCATTGCAACATTTACAAACCAAGTAGTGACATACTTTAATTTTAATTAAGAACAGAAATATCAGATATATAGTCCACACTAGTCCTAAATTCAGAAGAACACAGATAAAGCCGCATACACAGAAATAACTGTGAAATTGTGAAATAATCATTAATAACGAGAACTGTTTTTGTTTGTGTCAATGGACCCGTCACTAAGAAGCTTATTGAGAAGATAAGTCTCAGGCCTTTGAAATGTGATTAAATGATTCAATTTATTAATTTAATTTGATTAATGGTCACAGTCACCGGGCAGATCAATTGAAGGTTTGGCTGTTTGGAGCAGGGTTACCATACCGTGGAGCACAGAGGACAAACCCCTGTCAGGATCTCTGGAGGGTAAAGTGGGATTAGTCGCTGCTTCTGCACTCATGCCAGGGTTTAATGGAGCAGGAGTAACTAAATTGACAGGTCTGCTTGCTGGCCAACAAAAGCCCCAAAACACTTAAGCTTTACTTAAAAATTGGGACATGCTGACTTAACCTAAGCTGGTCCAGATCAAAATGATACAATACTGGTTATAATATTAATTCAGATTAACTGTGAATGCACTGATCCAACAAAAAAGGGAAGGCATATACTGTATATCCTCATTCACACAATTACAATGTTTTCACAGACGAAGTTTATGCTTTCCTGCTGGCTACATGTCAAGAATGTGAACAACAGTATGAGGAGGTAGGGTTGGGTACACACAGGTCTGAATTCCCATGAATCACTTCATGCTGTGACCATGAGGTGATAACATTTGAGTTGTCCATGAAAGGATGATAATAATCTAGAGACACATGGTAGGAATCTGATGAACCCCACACATTAACACAATGCTTGGGGCAATAGCAGGACTTTAGCCTCAGACTGGAGAAGCTCAACAATTGGATGGATTGCCAAAAAGATCTAGTATTCATGGTCCACAGAGGATAAACTCTAATGGCCTGGCTATTGTTGTAGTACCACAATGAAGTTAACTTTGTGATTTGTTGGGGAAGTTTCAACAACAATTAGTTATTGTTTTGTTTTTTTAATCAACTAGGCTACATTTATAGTCCCCTCAGGATTAATTATAATGACTCTTGTGGAACCGTCATCAAGACAAAATGTTTTATTTGTACAAATAGTATACTTTTTTTTATCACTAATTTAACTGACATCCCCATGTCCATTATGTTTACTGCTAATGAGCAAATACATGCTAACATGTTAAACTAAGATAATGAACATGGTAAAGATTATACGCTAACTGCTCAACAGGGGAGACATGGGAAACTTTGCTCCTCTTAATAAGATATGAGCTCCCCTAAAGAAATGGACATTTTTGGAGGGTCTCTAAAATATTGACAATATGATATTGTCCCATACATTTTTATGTTTCTGTATGATGCAAAACATGTGTTTTTGTGCATCAGCAGAAGGGTTAAAAGCTCACCAAATTCTAACTGCGTGTCGTCCATGAACACAAGACAAGTTAATCCACTGCAGTCTATGTTTTGTGTCAAATTCAAGCAAGCATGTTTGACATGAAGTTGCAAACAGAGATTATGTTGAATGTATGTGTAGCAAGGGACAGAGTGTCCTGGTCCTGATCCTGAAGTCACACCTTGGAACTGAAGGAGAAGAGAGACAGTGTCTCCATTATGTGAGGTCTCAGTCTGATGGAAGCAGCCATCCTGCTCTAATTCTCACCACTTAAGAGCCTATATCTACTTAAAGAGACATTATGCAGGAAATGTTATGCAAATGGTTGTTTATCGGTTCATCTCTGTGTCAGCCACTTGTTTTCCCCCCCATCTACAGCGTGTGCCATGCTGATCTCTGGCTTAAGGAGGAGCCTAATCTTTTAACACCTATCTAGCAGATTTCTCTATTGTTGTCAGATTCGAGATGGGATAGTACAAATGAGTCAGTCACACTACATTTTGACCATCTATAGAGAATAGTTAAGTGAGACAGCTCATCTTAATGAATATATTTAAATGAATTCAAATGATTCAGTCAAAATGAGTGGAATACATTTTGAAGTGTGCATGTTGGGGTGATCCCTAAGCTGCACACATTGAGAGACCCTTACTAAACAGATTACCTCTATAAATCTATGTCAGGATACATTTCTGCATGTCATGCAAAGGGCAAGAGCGTGCGAATTCAGAACCAACAACATGTTCACAGTACAACATATCAGCACAGTGTTGACATCTGCTGCACAAGGTCAGATAAATGTGAACCTTGCAAAGCGCTGTGCATATACTGTGAGTGCACATCTATGCATTCGTAGCATTGAAGAGAAGCTTACAGGTTGATATGTGATCATAAATGTGGCTGTTACAGGAAATAGACTCTTTGGATGTGGAGATATTTAAAGACTGTTTCCTGTGTTAGACATTTACCTTGGATTAAGGAACAGGAGCATTGTGACTCACAGCTGCCAGAGGTGCAGCATGGGAGTCGAGATTGCGACATGACGTGTGTCGATGAGTGGGGGTGACCAGATGTTGTGCTCCTACCATGGGGAATAAACTCTATCACTCACAGCGCAGGTGGTGGGAAAAAGGGGGAGAGAAAGGGAGAAGGGAACAAGTGAGGGAGAAACAACGGCAAACAGGAAGCTGAGACCTTACAACACAATGCACACAGAGTTTCCTGCAGGCTCAGACAGATAAGGAACAACACTTTGTTTTAAGTTGTATTTTCACCCACAAACGTTTCCCGGTCTCCAAAACCACATCTTATAATGCTCTTGCAATTCATCTGCACTACAGCTGTAATAATGTTGAGTTTGGGTTTTAAATGTGTAGCCTCAAACTATACAGCTGCAGGCCCAACACACTTACACAACGTCTAATTATTTACTACCATTCAGACAATGAGTGCCTAGCTCATAAGGTCAGAGGATTGCTGTGTGATCATGATGTGAAGGCTTGATCAAAAGCATCATCACCAGCATATTTCTTATTTCCATAGCCCTACTGTTCAGCCATGCACCATAAGCAGTGCAAAGCAAATAATGTCAGTACAACTTGAAACAACATAATAATGTCAAACAATGCAAGACATGCAACACTTTGAGTACATTCTAAGGACTTGCACCATCCACATCATGATTCAGTGTGATATTAGCTTTGGATGCCAATGAAGCAGTCTTTGTTGAGCCAAAGACAAACAGAGTCAATGCTCAGATATGACATTCATAACTTTGGTGTGACTTGCAAAGACAGAACAATAATCTACACTTACACACTAGTACCACCATCAAGAGCACCAGTGCATCTTACAATGCCGCACATTATTTTCATTAAGATAGTATAACTATCATAAGTCGTAGTAATATCATAATTTTGCAATGTCATTTTGTGTATTTATGAACCCAATCACCCTGAAAGAGGCAGGATGAAACATGGCACATGAAGTTTCTGCTATAAACTGCAGCTGGTGACAGTCTAACAATGCACCCTCAGCTGTGCCCTTTGCCCCTTTGTCATAGGAGAATAAAGCTGCCTTCAGAAAATGGATTTATAGGTCGAAAACACATGAACAATATGACAAAGTGGCAACCAAGAAAAAATTAAGTGGGATGTGTGATGTGGTAGTGTGAGTGTGATGTGATGAAAAGCTGAACTGACAAAATGTTTACATTGATTATGAAATAAAAACAGTTATTTGGCGAAACATGACATTGCTTTCTCTCTTGAAGACGAGATATTTTGCACATAAAACTACTAATATGTGAAACTAATCGTGAATACAGTCGTCTGTTCAGAGGAAACTGAAAGCAGCATCTAACTTACTTACTTTAGAGTAAATTGGACGCCATCATGCCAAAGCCAATATTGGAGCAACACCGCCCTCTATGGATAAATAATGGTATTGCAGTTAAATATTGAGCACAGTCTGTGGTCAATGTTGTACATTACTGAACGACAGACACTGCGATACGCAAACGCTAATATATAGCACTACTTTTAAAAACATTTAGTCTACTTTTTCCAAGCCTTTTAACTAGAAACTACTCATCACAAATATATATCACACAAGATACACTTTTAAAGTTATGTTTGCTTTATAATATGTTACTCTCCTGCCCCAAGAGTTATCTACGGAGTAGGCTATAGCCTATACTAGCCTATATATTATAGATAGCACTACCAACATAAATTCTCATTATCAGTTGCTGTACTTTCATTACAGTAGGCATTCAAGGTCAAATCAGCTGACTTTTAGCATGATCCGGCCCGTTTAGGTGGGAGTGTCTATGTTAATCACCATCAAACGGAAACGGACAAAGTGCTGGGGAACATCTCATCTGATTGGGCGCCTTTTGTTCTTTCAAATCGAGGTGTCCCCTCTCCTTTATTGTCACCAACGGGCCCCTGGGGGAGAAGACGTCTTTTACAGTAATGCTTCACTCTTACTGTTACTGTCTCTGGACTTTCTAACTGCTTGGATAATGGAGTAGGCTGATACTGCAAAGAAAAATGGCTTGTCAGAGACATGATAAACCCATCAGATTGAGGGATGAGCTGAGCTGCATGCTGGTTGGTGATGGAGCTGTGGGGAAGACAAGCATGGTTATCAGTTACATCTTCAATGGATACAACAGTGATTACCGCCAAACAGCTTTTGATGTTTTCACTGGTGAGTAAAGGCATTTCTTTGAATGTTAATGGTTTTTTGAGTCAGCAATAACACTGATTTCTACTTCCAGGTTTGGTTCATGTAAATGGGATTCCAACTCGCATCAAACTGATAGATACAGCTGGACAGGTAAATGTTCCACACCACTTGTGACTGTGATGTATTTGCCAGAGTTAGTCCTTTTCCTCCTAATGTGTTATTATTTGATCTGACAGGAGGAGTTTGGCCATCTCCGCTCTCTGTGCTATGCCCATGTGGACGTCTTCATCCTCTGCTTCAGCCTGGTCAACCCTGTCTCCTTTGAAAACATCACCTCCAAATGGATCCCTCAGATACGAGCCGGAAACCCGACCTCTCCCATAGTCCTGGTTGGAACTCAGTTAGACCTTTGCACCAATGTGGACGTCCTGGTTCACCTGGACCAGCGAGGCACCAGCCCAGTGCTCTTTAACCGGGCAAGAAGGCTGGCACACAGGATCAGAGCTCTTGACTATCTGGAGTGTTCAGCCCTGACACAACATAACCTCAAAGATGTGTTTGACCGTGCTGTATCTGCTGCCATCAAGCACAAGCACACTGGCAACACATCTAAAAAGCACAGCCTGCTTAAACGTTTAAAGACTTTTTGTGATGGTCGATGGAGGAAAATCTTCAGATTCATCTGATGTGGAATCAAAGAGCGAATTTAATGTGCTCTGCTTGGTGGACACGGTCTGTTTGGGGACTCTTATGACAATTCATGCATTTCTATCTGAATATTTCTCTACAGGATGTGATTTGTGCACTAAAACACATGGAATGAAATGTGATAATCCTATAAAAAAATGTACTGCACAATGAACGTTGTAGATTCTGCTCTTTTTCTGTCTTCCCTTTTGTTTGTTTGATGATTTATTTGTTGTTCATATTTTTGTGTGCTGTGTCAACTGTTTGTAATAAAAGCACTAAGGTGTAACACATCTTTTATTGCCAGTTTCTGTATTTTTTAAGTATGAAGATCCTGCAGTAGAAGCTACTGTCAGGGAAGAAATGGAGGGAAACACAAAGTGTCATTTAAGACAAATGGTCACCTGCTGATGCTTTGAAGAGCTACTTTACGAGACAAAGGCCATTTAAATCCATTCTCTGTCTAAAAAGCTTATGCTGAGACTTGCTTACAATTGCCACACAATTACTTTGAAGCTGCCTTCCACATGGAATGTTTTGGTGATCAGATTTGTTTTATTTTATTGCAGTAATTAAGGTTTGCCAATAAAGGATTGTGATTATAAGGATACAATTCATCCAACTGTAATGCAACAATTTATTATTCCAACGATTATTTTACATTTTGTTTGCATTCATCAACACAAAAGAAAAAAACAACATATTCCCCGCATGCATTATCTTAAATATGGTTGTGCTTTTTGTTTCCATCTTGCAATATTGTTGGTGGTATTTTACTAGGTAGAATCAATATTATGCAATCCATATACGTCCAAGAGGTTAAACTGGTTGTGTGTGCCTAAAGCTAAGACTGGGTGTAAACACACAGACAGCTAAACCCTGCAGACCTACACAATACATTTTATAATCAGGTTTAATAGCAGTCATCATTTTGAAGATCAGTTCTTTGAGTTGAGTAGCAAACAAGTTGGATTTCGGGAGCACATAAAACCCTTTTGGAACATGTGGAAGAAGTACTCAGATCTTATACTTAAGTTAAAGAAGAAGTACCAGTGTAGGAATAAGCAGTTATATGTAAAAGTCCTGCAATCAAAATCTTACATAAGTAAAAGTAGCATCAGAATATAGAACCAACAGTAAATGTACTAATTGTGCATATTTCAGCCCATTTCAGAATAATATATATTACATGTTTCTGTTTCGATTATTGTGCATTAGAGTGTTATTAGGTGCAGTTAATTTTAATTACCTTGTATGCTGCAGAGAAGCTTGTGAATTTACTTCAGGTGTAACTAAAGTCTTATTTAAGTGTTGATTATATTTCACATCATTAATTACAATCTGTACAGTAACTAAAGGTACAACATTAACGTAGAAGGGTAGAAGTACAAAGCAAAATCATTTAAATAATCAAGTCTCTCAAAATTGTACAGTACTTGAGTATATCTACTTAGTTACTTTACACCAAATGTACACAAACATTCGTCTCAGCTGGGTCTGTCTGTAAGAACTACGTTTCCCATCATGCAACAGAGCGTTACCCTACACTGACCCTGTGACTGAAAATAATCTGATCAGCTGATCTGACCTGGCAACAAAATAACGTAGCTAGAGAAATCTGCCAGGGAGGGGGCTGAAGAACAAAACAATGACACTGCTCGGAAGGATCCAAATACAGTAACACTTTTTAAGACTTTTAAACGGAATAGCGCGGATTTCCCTCCCGTCTGAAAGCAAAACAGTCCGCTGATATCCGAGCTTTTGACATCGACTGGTAGTTGTTTTTGTTGATATGTTGTTACAGCTCTGTTGACAGACTGGAGGCTAGCTGCTTGTTTGCACGGCTATAAACTGCTGGGACTAGCTGGCCTTTAAATTACATATTTTCTCTGGAAAAAGTTACAACTATCCGTCGAAACCAACTAGCTGAAAGCTAAGCAACGCTGACGTTTTTGCTGCTTTGGTGCCAAATTATCTACCGAGTTTGCCAGCGAGCTACTGAGGGTCAGTTTCCAGCTAGCCTGTTGTTAGCATCAACATTTGCACATTCATCCTTTCAGGGAGAGCTCATTGTCTCGGTCGCTACTAGCTACCTGTAGGGCCTACATGTTTTTGTATTATTTTATTCGCCAACCTTTATTTTAACTTCTGTTATGCTGCAGCTAAATGCTAACTTTGGTTCATGAACAAGCTAACTATTAGTGGTGAAACCATATCAAGTGTAACTAAAGGACACGGCTGCTTCTGGTCCATTGCCTGACTGTTAGTTGCACTAAATAACATTATTTAAACAAGTGTTTGAAATTCATGCTGCCAAAACAAGTTTGATTTATTGTATTATTGTGTGAAAGTAAGTTGTTACAGTCAGGGAATCACCAGCCTTGTTCCCATGCAGCTGTTTTAAATTGATGTTTTCATTGTTTTTGGTAATTTAAGTTGTCACTTACATTTTTCAATTACTGCTATTGGAAATATCTGATTGTCAAAGCTATTCCAATAAGCACTCTTCTGAATTCAAGTTTAGCTTATAAGAAACGATGAGCGGGCATGGCTCATCTTCAGAAAAGGGAGTTAATACTAGCCTAATATGTCAAGAGAGTTATGTGTGTGGTGGCTCTGAGGAGGCTGCATTTGAGTGTAATGAATGCAAAAGCTTGCAATGTGTCCGTTGTGAGCTCGAGCTCCACAGTCAGGAGCGCCTGAAGAACCATGAGCGTGTTGAAATAGGACCTGGGCATGTCCCTTACTGTGAGAACTGCAAAGGAGGCAATGGAGACAATGGCAAATGCAATAGATCTGTGGTCCGCTGCCAGAACTGCAAAGTTAACTTGTGCCAAGAATGCCAGAAACGCACCCACAGTGGAGGCAACAAGAAGAAACACCAGCTGACATCTTACCCTCCACCACCCAAACCTGCGGAGGTCATCCCTGTCAAGACACCGGCCCCGCCCGCTGTCCAAATAGAAGATGAGGCCAAATCTCAAAGAGCAAAACTCCTGGAGAAGATTTTCAGTTTCCTCTTGGTAGATGAGAATGAGGAAATGCAGGTGAGTTGTGCACACTTGTATAGGAGCCTAATTCAAATACCTTTACTAACAAACATATTTTTAACTTCTTAACTGTTGTTTCTCCAAAGTTAAAAGATGAAGCTTCATTTGTGAAGAGCCTGAGCTGTAACCCTGACCAGCTGCTAAAGGTGGTGTCCATCTTTGGCAACACGGGAGAGGGCAAATCTCACACCCTGAACCACACGTTCTTCACTGGCAGAGAAGTGTTTAAAACTTCTCCCACTCAAGAATCCTGCACAGTGGGTGTGTGGGCGGCATTTGACCCATTCCGTAAAGTAGTAGTCATCGACACAGAGGGGCTGCTGGGGAACAGCTCCAAACAGGGCCAGAGAACCCGACTCTTGCTCAAGGTGCTCGCCATCTCCGACCTCATCATCTACCGCACCCATGCCGACCGTCTCCACGATGACCTGTTCAAGTTTCTCGGCGATGCCTCGGATGCTTACCTGAAGCATTTCACCAAGGAACTGAAGGCCACAACAGCCCGCTGTGGCCTGGATGTCCCTCTGTCCACCTTGGGCCCTGCAGTGGTCATCTTCCATGAGACAGTCCACACTAAGCTGCTTGGCTCAGGTACAAAATCTAAACACTTCTGCTTCTCTAAGGTCCAACTAGTAATGGATGGAGTTACAAATGGTTCCAAATGTATTAGACAACTCAGCCCTAAAGCATAATTTTACTAAAGAACGTCCATTAAACAATACATAGTGACTCTATCACAAAGAATGTAGGTCTGCATCACAGTAAGGGACGAGAGGCTGTGCCTTTTAAAGTAAACTAAGAGCAGATAATTATAGGTAAGCACATGTTTGCCTACAGCCTACCCCAACACCACTGGAGGTATCAATCTGCATTCCAACTTGTCTTCAAATGTGGAAAGCATACTTTTTGGAATCAAAAGAAAACTGCACTCTGTCAAGTTAGGTCAAAAGTGACAGTAGTAGTCACTTCAAAGAAAATGTCAGTTTCTTTTTTGATGCTAAAGTCCAGCTGCTACAACTCATACATTCCTGAAAACCTGTTTCTAATGTGTGAAATTCAATAAATCTAGTCACTGTTTATGAAGGAGAAAAAACACGATTAACATTTCTTGGCTATGGAGTTTCAAGTGCACGTGTTTTGTAGTAAATATTTATTTAACATGAGGGAACACTGATAAGCCTTACAGACTTGGGACAACACAGGTCATGTTTTTGTGTGAGCTTCATATTTGTTATTAGATATATTAACGATGTTTTAACAGTATTGTTCTCTCTTTTACCAGAATAAGGACAGAGAAATGCATCATTTTGAGATCAAGAGATGATGAGTTGTTGTTATATCTGATGTAAATGCTAAGGGATTTTCAACACATCATTCTGATTACACTCTGTGTCTTGTTTTTAGATAAGTCATTGGAGTCAGTAGATCGTCTGCTGTCTGAGCGCTTCAAGAAGCTTTCCCGTTTCCCAGAGGCCTTCAGCTCTGTGCAGTACTGGGGCACGCAGACTCTCACCCCCCCGACTGATTTCCGCGGCCTGCAGAATAAATTGGAGCAGCTCCTTGACAACAACGCCACCCGCTCCCCACGCACCCCCGTGGTGATCTTCAAAGCCCTGCAGGTAGGGCTGTATACAGTTTGGAAAGCAGTCAGCTTCCTGCCTTTTTCAGACTGGCTGGTTGGTGTTGTGAAGCCAGCACTGAACAGAATATAAACAACATTTACTGATAAACTGGTTCCTGAATCAGATAAAAAATAGTTTTGAATCAGAACAGCTAAAGCTCATAAGTCTCAGGTTCTGTTTGTAAAATACTGAACATGTCTGGTCGAGCTAAGATCCGTTGTCCTTGATTTTCCCGCAGGCATTAAGTGAGCGCTTTAATGGGGAAATTACAGGTGAGCTTGTAGCCCACAGCTGCTTCTTTCCCGATGAGTACTTCACCTGCTCCACCCTGTGCCTCAGCTGTGGGTCAGTACCTTCGTCTCTTAACAAGAAACACATTTATAATCTTACCTTCAATCGCTTGGTTTCCAGATTATTAAACATTTTTGACATTTCATTTTTATCCCAGATCTGGCTGCAAGAACAGCATGAACCACTTGGGAGAAGGAGTGTGCCATGAGGCGAA